AAAAAATTTTTTTTTTTTGGTATGCCTAAGGCATAAGCCTTATCTCTTATAACGTTAGAGCCGGCCTTGTACTAATTAATAACCCTAACAGATGAAATCATATTAATTGTGTATATAATTTAAATTGGAAGTTAACAGAGATTTAGTTTATTATTTTCCTTTTTTCGTGTTTGATTTATTATTTTCCTAAAGCACGCATTACAGTTGTTTGATCATGTTTTATTTTGTTATGAGATTTGTAAAAACTTAATTGATTGTATGTGTTGCGATACTTCGTTAGTGTTTGTTCATAGATTTGGTTGAAACTTGAGAATTTCTTTTAATATTGTATTGAAAAATAGTTTTAGAAGTTGAAGTTGTGTTTGGACATATATTTTATTTGAAAAAAATTAAAATTTTATGAGTAAAAGAAAAGATTTCACCAAAAAACTATCCTAAAATAGTTTTTGAATTTTTAAAAAAAAATTATATTCTATGAGCAAATAATATTTTTAATTTTTGTTTTTAAAAGTAACCAAAATTTATGGTCAAATAGAAACTTCTTCTATCGTTCAATACCCACAAATTTAATTTGACCTCTTGTTCTCATCCCCCAAGTGCATCACGACAAACAATCGTAACAGCAAAAGCAAGGAGAAAAAACTAAATACGGAGAGTTAACCTAAATAATTATTCGTTCAATTGTATAAATTAAATATAATAAAATTAATATAGGAGTATAATTTATGTATATCCACTTAGAAAATAAAGAATGGATTCGACCGCTAGAGTATAAATCCCCAAAAAAGGAAGGCAGAAAGCACAGTAAACGACACTGGAGAGTGGAGACTGGACATTGTGAGTGTGGCGCAAGTAAACAGAGTTTCAAAAACCGATTCAGCAGTTCTCTCTCTATTGTACTCTCTCATCTTTTTCTCATTTCCGCTGCAAAAAATAAACAATGGAGGAAGAGTACTCGGTGGATCCAGCTCAGTTACTGGAAGCTGCTACTGACTTTGCCTATTATCCTGGTATTTCTATTGTTTCCCTCTTTCTTCCTACAACAATCCCTATTTTTACTTGTTTCTCCTATTTGGTAATAAGCAAATGGTTAATTTGTATCATCCAATTTTCAGGCGCTCATTCCGATGCTTCAGCTCAAGACTTTCTCAATCGATTTCCTCTTCCTGCCATTATCAAGTATCTCTATTTTTCTTTTTCTCTTTTTTTTTTTTGGCTGGAAATTAAATGTTAAAAGCTATATATAGATAAAAATCCTTTTACATTTAACAGAAATTAAATAGGGAGCTTAACTAGTGCTAAATTTTTAGCTTGCTGATTGTGAACTTAAATTGCTTGCAGTGCTTTGCAAACAAAAGCAGAATACCCTGGCCTAGAAAATGCGTTGGTTGATTGTTTAGAAAGGCTTTTCAAAACAAGATATGGAGCATCACTCATTCCACACTACATGGTACGGCAATAATGCTACTACTAAATAAGCTCGATTTGAATCTTCATATTGGAATGAGTTTTGTGTGTTTGGTATCACAAATGTGTGTGGAGTATATATTGGCTACTCCCTCTATTCCAGTTTATGTGGCAAAGTTTGAATTGGGACAGAGTTTAAGAGAACTTGTGGTTTTAAACATTCCGCATTTGTATAGCTATAAAAGCTTCTCATTAAGGCTAAGATGAAAAGTTTAAGTTAAAATTGTTTCCAAAATTTTAAAGCTGCCATTTCATTTTGGAACAGACTGAAGAGGAAATGTTTTCACATAAACTCGAACAAAGGGAGGATTTGGTTACTTATATTTTAGACCATATGTTAGGGATGTGAAGCACTTGATTGATAAGTTTTGTCTTTAGATTTAAACATGCGCGCTCAAGGGACTTTTGGGTTCTATCTCGTCGAGCGAAGGAATAACGCGAAATCACAGTGAATGGGAAACATAGCAAATTTAATTAACACTCACCTGTTATTAGTGTTTGTTTTTGTGAGTTTGAAGGAAGTAGATCGTTATCTCGACAGAGATAACTATTAATTTAAACAAATTTATAACGATAGGGGTACAACTTCCTTCCTAAAACAATGTAGGGAACAGAAAAGGTTGAGTTTCTTGCTGTTCTTTCTGCTTCCAGCCATTCAAATGGTGCTTTATCTTATTTATCATGTTAACTTCTGTTCATGACTGATTTAAAAGGATCTTGATTAATAGTGATCAAGGATGAATTACTCTTTTACAAGAGTTCCATTCATTCTAAACACGTAAACTCGTAAACTGTACCCAGTATTTTCACTTTCTTTTATTGTAAGGACTGCAAGGACAAAAGATGGAACTTAAACATGGAATGAGAAAAATAAAGAAGGAAGTAAACATCATAAAATGTTTAGAAGAGCTATTAAGAATTTGGATTACAATATCTATTGGTTTCCGGTAATCAAATCAAAACCTTTCTGACCAAAAACAATCCAAAAAGTAGGGTTTTCCTAGCAGCTAACTTTTCACTAAGTTGTTTTTCACAATATTTTCAGAAAATATAGTCCTCCCAATATGAGCCAAAACCATATCCAGAAAATTGATCTTAGACAGCAATAAGGAAATTATCCTGAGTAGTGATCCTCTGTAGTCTTATAGAGCTAGTTTATTATAGGTCAATATGTTATGTATGTTAATAATTTATTCCCTTATCCATCTTTGTGCTACATTTATACTTTTACACGTGTCCATCATAAAGATTTTGAGATAAATCATTACTTTCTCTAAATTGCTTGGTCTGCTTTCTGCCTTGTTGCAGACCTTTGTGATTGTCGGTCTGGGTGCAGAGTCTCAAAAAGTCAGACGTTTAACATGCCAAACAGTAAGTGCTTCTGCGATAAATTCAAGGCTTTTTTGTTAAGCTTAAAGTAAGTGCATCCGTAAATTAAATTAAAGATATTATCTCTTATTATATTTTCAGCTTCTAGCCAATTGAGATCCTTTGTGTATGAAAGATTTTTATCCTGAAAACATGTAGTTAACTCTGTAAGATGCGGTTGGTGTATGAGAGAACTGAATAGTGATGACAAATTGATTTACCGGCTCACAAATTTTCGTAGATGTGTCTCTGGATAATTAAAGCAGGATTGATGTTAAGCTGAAGTTGACAATCTAGCAAGTAGACTTTTCATCCTATGAGAAACAGAATATGTGAATTAGTTATGGGAATTGCTGAATGTTCTAATATACGTGGTTACACATTCTAATCGTGCTGGAGAATTTGCATATTGTTGTATCTATTCTCCATTTTGCTTCCTCATTCTGCGCCATGTCATTCTAATTTAACTGTCTTTGTCTAACTTGCTGAAAACAACGAATGTGGACAATCTTTTTGGCTCATGCTGTAGTAACCATGTACAGGTGTCTTGCCTTTTGGAGAATATTGATGAAGCTATTGTTGTACAGCTAATTCATGAGTATGGAGTTTATCAACTTTTGCTTAATTGCCTCATCAGTGGGTAAGACACAATGCACTGTGTTACAACATGCAATCACAGACCAAACTGTCTATAAGTTCTTTTTTTTTGTTGGTTTTGTGAAGATGGCTTTGTTGGATATACTGATACACTGCCTCGGGTAGAAAAGATCCTGACATGGGGCTGCCCTTTTTGTAGTGATCGATTTGCTTCACCTGCTTCTTTAAAGGACGGCCCGGTGCACTAAGCTCCCGCTATGAGCTGGGTCCGGGGAAGGGCCGGACCACAAGGGTCTACCGTACGCAGCCTTACCCTGCATTTCTGCAAGAGGCTGTTTCCACAGCTCGAACCCGTGACCTCCTGGTCACATGGCAGCAACTTTACCAGTTACGCCAAGGCTCTCCTTCACCCGCTTCTTTGAGAGTTGATTTGATTATGCTTGTGCTTGCTTAATTTTGGACATCGCATGATGTTCATTCTAGGAGAATATGGTCATGAGTTAGAAAAATAATACGTATGAGTTAGATTAGGTAACTAACTGTTCTCTTTCATCATTTCATTTTATCTGCAAGCATGATATGTTCTGTTAAAATAGTGCAATCAGGTAGTATGACTTCTTTCCAATTCTGCTTCTCTGATTTGTGAGTTTTTTTTTTGGAATTTCATCGGGTCATGTGGATGAATGGTTCTTGTAGTGCCTACAAGTCTTTTCACTTCGGAAATACATTGTCAATTGCTGTTGTTTAGTTGAGATTCTATGTTTACTCTTAGAAACAGAAACATTGATACTTGTGACAATATTTCTTGTCAAAGACAAAATCTTAAATGGAAACCATTTCTTTTATTTTTCCATTTTAACTTTTTTCTGGTCCATTTCCTCAAGACTCTTTGTCTTTGTTTGCATGCTATTGCCCCCTGAACTGTGGACTAGCCAGTTTTGGGCTCCCCATGTGGAGGTTACTGATTTTGTAACGCCATGCTGCTTATGTTTTAGGACCTGTGATCTTTTACTACAACATTTATTGTTCCTCACATCCTATTGTAGAGGCTTTACATGCTTAGATTTATAAGATTTTGCTGCACCACATGCTTGTTGTGACTTCCTAACTAGAAATTCTTATATCCTCGGTACTGATGATAACATGTGATTACCACACAGCAACACTAAAAGCATGCAACCTCAATATCCCTTCTTTTCCTCTTCTAGAAATTGGGTCTGCTTGTAGTCATGTAGGCATTATTCTTCTGGCAGGGATGAGGAAGTTGCCGCCACATCTACAGACGCAGTCAGGAAACTGGCTAGCCATTCAAAAGGCATTGTATGTAGTATTCTGCTTCTTATCTTGGTCGCACATATATTTCTGCGTACCTGTGGTGATAATTTGACCAGATATTATGGAAATAAGGATCTCTGTTGAATTTGATAAAGTTTTCTATAGGATATCATATTTCCAGAGAGTGGTAATGAAGCAACAAACCTCGTGAACTTGGCAACCAACTGTTCACCTCTGGTATGGTATTTTCTAATAGATGGTAAAAGTTCTGTGTGCCCTGTGACAGACGACGTGCTCTATGCAATGATTATTTCTCTTTTGATATTAGTGCTTTACTTGAGGTAATGCTGGAATTAGTTTGAAAAACCATGTGCTCTATCCAGTACCCAATGAGCAGTTCTCTTTTGAATTTAGTGCTTTACTTGATGTCACGTTGAAGTAAATATCGTAGTTGTTATCCATTTAATCATAGCTTATGATCTTTTTAATATTCTGAACATAAAGAAGCTATGAGACAAAGAGACTACTCTTAATCTGTATATACTACTGAAAAGCCTTGGCACAATGGTAGGAGTTTTTATAGTGTGGCCAGGAGGTCACGATTTCAAGTAGTGGGAATAGTCTCTTGAAAAAATATGCAAGGTAAAGCTGCACAAAGTAGACTCAACATAGTCTGGCCCTTCCTTGGACCCACTCATAACGGGAGTTTAGTGCACTAGGTTGCCCTTTATACTACTAATAAAAACCCAACCATTTAAATTTATAAATTCCTACGTTATCCATTCATGTTTTAATGCAAACGTGCTCCCAAATTCTTGCTGCTTGATTAAAGATAAGGCTTAAGTAGTGGTTCTTTTTCTTACTCATCATAGTACTTGTTATTATTTTGGTGAAGCTCCTCCAACATTTTCACTATAATTTATAATAAAAAGTATCATACTTCAGAAATATCTTTTCAAATCAAAATGGTTGTACTTTTGTATTAATTGCACATAACGTCTACATGACATAATTCCGAATATGCTTATATCTATAGTACATGCTCTCTTCACTGATTTAAATAGAAATTTTAACTACGTATCTATTTTGCTCTGGATATAATTGAGCTGGTGCCCTGGTATGTTATATATCTTGATTAGAGAACTTCTCTTACTCATCCCACCAAATAAAAAAAGGTACAAGAAACAGGAAATAATGGTACCAAAGTGGCACCCATTGTCAGTGGGGAATGGTGGTTCTTAGTCCATCTGAACCTCATTGAGCTGTGGTATGCTTTTGTCTTTCTATCAACTGTTTTACTATCTCATTGCTTGTACTTTAGCTTTTCGTTTTGCTAAATCCTCAGGGAAGAGTCAGACTCTTAGCTTTGATTGTGAAACTATTCTCCATTTCCTCTTCTGTGGCATCAAGAGTGTATAATTCAAATCTACTTAGCTTGTTGGAGGCAGAAATTAGCAATGCAAATGATACGTTAGTCACTTTGAGCAGCTTGGAACTCCTATATGAGGTTTGCTCTTAGCTAGTTATATGATTTTCCTCTACATATGATCATTGTATTCGCGTTTTGTTTGTAACTTCATATGGTCTTATTAGCTATAAATTTTGCATATCTTATTCTGCATTGGTAAATCATATCATTGGGATTTTATTCATTTCTTAAAAAACTCAGGAAGTCCCATCAACAACAACAATAACATACCCAGTGTAATCTCACATTGTGGGGTCTTGGGAGGTAAATTGTAGGCAGACCTTACCCCTACCTTGTGGATGTAGAGACTCTGTTTCCGAAAGGCCCTCGGCTCAAGGAAAACAATTCTCAGCAGATTTGAACAGGAGAACAATAATAAGGAGGTCATGTCGGAAATACGAAAAATAAGAACATCAACAACAAAAATAACAAAGCATTAATATAACCAAGCAAGGGGAACAACAGATGCTACTCAGGAATTCCCATGTCATAAATAATTTGCTCTGTCGACGCAAAATATCAACTCTTCATAACTGTTTGACATAACACAAAAAGATGCAGAACAATATGAGCATTTACTTCTTTGATAGAAGAATAGCATGTGCGGAATATGAACCATAAGTATGTATTAGTATTGGTAAGTGACCATGTCTTAGAATACCAAACTCGACCTTATGCAAATTCAACGTCAGCAAAGTACTTGATGCTCTCTTTCTCCACAGCTATCGAGAAAATTTTTCTCTGTTGCTTTTCTGTGTTTGTGCCTTCACCTTGCTGTTTTGCGATGTGGTTTCGTAGTCTATAGTAAACACCAAAGAAAATGAAAATATCAGTAAAGTACTGAAAAGATAAGGCAGAGAACCAGGGTTAGCCTAAGTAAAATTTACCTTGTCTGCCTTAAAACCATACCAGATCTTTGCATTGACGAAAGGTGGCTAACACTAGGAAGTTTCCTATATATTTAAGAGCTTATTCCTGGTTATGTTCTGTTCTCTCTCTTTAGTTATAGGGGGTCTATTGCAGTGGCGGAGGCAGGATCTCCACGAAGGGGGTTCAAAAAATTTTTTTTGTAGCTAGTGGGAATTGAACCCATGACCTTATGTAGATTTTGAACCCCCTTGACCACTAAACTACACTTTTGAATTGTGTTAAGGGTGTTCAAAACTTATATAGAGGTAAAAAACAGATTTTGCCTTATATATACATTGTAATTTTTCGGCGAAGGGTGTTCGGGAACACCCTTGCGCCCCCCTAAATCCGCCCCTGGTCTATTGGTGGCATGAATCAAATATTCTCCTTTTTCTTTGGGGAGGGGGTGTCTGTTGGTGGCATATATCAAATACTTCCTTTTGTTTGGGTGTGTGTCGGTGTGTGTGTTTGTTAAGCTACCTTCTTCTTGATTCTACAATCCATTACTTTCCATAATAATCACTCAATGCCCTTTTTTCAACTGGTTCCCGATTGATGTTTTACTTGTTTTTCTTGTATGTGCTGGGTAAATGAAGTTGGCTGATGTTCAGCACAGCACTGAGTTCTTGTCAAGGACGAAACTTCTCCAAATTCTTACTTCAATTATTAGGTCTGCACGTGAGAGAATTGCTGCCTATGATTCTGAATTTGATTTTCTTGTCATTCAATGATTCCGACTGTCATATTTATTTCTTTGCCTGCCTATCTTCCTAGTGATGCCTCTGCTGAATCGATCTTGAGATCAAGAGCAATGATGATAACTGGAAGGCTGATGGCGAAGGAGAATGCCTTCGTATTCATTGATGAATCTGGTAATACTCACATATACTTCTTCTAAGTCTTAGTTGTCATCCAAATTTTGTTATCTCTGAAACTTATTAACTATACAATTTGTAGGTATGTTTAGTATTTGAATTTCCATTTTTATTAGCTTATCACTAGTGTGACGAATAAGATATATACATGGCTTTGATACTGTACCCAGGTTTTCTGGTGCATAATTAATGGACTTGTGAGTGGTTCCAAGTACTCTACTTTCCATCAATTAATTTCAACTTCTGATTCAAGCCCAATCAAACATGTATAGTTGTAACTTGAGTTAATTAGAATGATTAGGAAAAGATCATTACCGTATTGGCTAGATACAGGACTCTCTTATCCAAGAACAGTAGCATCGCGGCCATTTGGCATGTCTTAATTAGAATGTAAGAGGATCTCAATTTCATACTGAACTCAATGGTATATTCTGGGTAAGGAAATACCTAGTTTGGTTGAAATATATCCTACCTTATTTTTTGTTGTTTTACTGCAGGTTTTGCTCGCTTGCATTATAACTCTCTCTCAGATAGGTAAAAGCAGAATTGACTCTTAATCTTTTTCTGACTTTCAGGTTGTAGAAATCTGATTTCAGCCATTGACAGAAGATTCAATTTGTTAGAAAGTGAAAATGCAGATGAATGTGAATGCGCTCTTGAAGCATTGGGACAAATTGGATTCTGTAAGTTTTTTAATTTCTTTATATTTATGTCCATGGGATGTAGCTCAGTTCTCCTTGACAAAAGAACATGTTGCTACATTTATCCCAATAATAACTTTAGGTTGTTGAAGGGATTTTATTGAGGCTTTCTTTAAATTAATGGTCAAACCTTGTACTTTTTGAGACCACAGTTGGTTTATTGGAGATTAACTTAGTGCTGATCCTTATTCTTTAGTATCTGAATAAACTAGTGCGCATTCTAAGCAGGCATAATCATAATAATAGAGTATTGAACTGTTCTAAGGTCTTTTTCCTTACCCTTTATACATATATTCTTGTCTCCCCTTTGATCAGAACATTGTTTATGTTTGATGTCAATAAAATAGAATAATAAGTGGAAGCTCTGATGTTATAAGGGCCATAGCTTGAAGGCACTTCTTACGTACCCTAGAGATCTTTAAGCATGACCGAACTCTGGTCTAAGTCAGTGGCTAAGAACCAAGTACGGAGGACCCAACTCGATGTTGTCATTGCTCGGTACTGTGCATGAATTGTTGGTCAAATGATGCAGTGGGGGAAGGGGGTGCTTAATGGGCTAGAGTGGTGTGTCATGACTCAAAACCTAGTGATTTACTAGCTCAAAAATTCATAGGCTCTGTAATAACCAGGTTACTTGATGGTAATCCCAACCCCGATGCATATTTTATCATTCTTGACTATCCCCTTTTTATAACGTTAGGGTTGCTTCATAATATTCTCAGGTAGTAATATATTCAGGTTATGAAATGTGAGTACTGGGTTGCAGCTTCATAGTTTCAGGGAAACGTCATTGGTGGCAATAGATTCTGATCTCATTCTTCAAGCATCCTTTCTACTAGACAGGATCCTTTGAACTAACATTTTATCCTCTCATCAGAAAGTCTCTATTCTTTCCGCTTGTTCTTGATATGCCTATGCTTCTCAATAGTAAATAGGAGTTCCTGCTTTCATACAGAAGCATGTTTGACCTTTGGAATTTCTTTTTGGCACTGTGCAGTTCACTGTGCACACATGCCACTTCAGCCCATGTTCACTTGGTTAATATATCACATTGTACTTGAAGTTAAAATTTTCTTCGTCTGTGATGCAGCCAACAAAGGGGCAGCATTGCTTCTCTCAGGTGCACAACCTGCAGGAAGACATGTCATTTATGCGGCTTTTGATCGGCAACAGCATGGTAAACAGCTGGTAAGCAGTGCGAGATTTAACTTGTGTCATCCATGTATATACAGCCTCATTTTATGAATGTTGTGTGATGATGTCAGCTTCATCCAGTGTTGTTGACGATCTCCTTTTAAGTACCAAAAAGACTGCCTGGTTTATTGTATTATTCTAATTAACTTCAGCCAGAAGCAAACTGGAGATTTAGTATCTTAATCTATTGCTTAAATTCCATTCGGAATTCATTCAGACTCTCACCTCATGAAATAAAGAGAGAAATTTGTGACAGACATAATGTTTACTTGAGACATCGCTTGAATGAAAAAAACAGGCGGCATTGCATGCTCTTGCAAACATTGTTGGAGAAACTCGTGCAGAAAATGATGTATTGCTGGATGGTGTTGCAGAGGAGAATCTTCGGCGCCTGATCTATGAAACAGCATCCAAGACTTCAAAGCTGACACCTTCGGTGAGTTTAATTTCTGTGAGGCCTCTGGCTTCATGAAAAATGCTTCCGTTATCTGCCTCTTTTTGTCTCACTGCTAGAACTTTGAAACTTCTCAGTATAAAGCTATGTCTGACTGCTGGAATCTTGAAAATTTGTCTGTACACACCACGTTCTTTTGGGGGGGGGGGGGGGGAACAAATGGATTATATTAGAAAGGAAAACACGTGAAATGCATTACCATGGTGGGTGGAAAAGTTTTTATTGGGATTTGGCGTGTATGAACCTGTTGTTAGAGTTGTGTTCAGCATTAAGGTCTTCAAATTCTTCTTTGATATTCTCCTAATATAATTTGTTGACATGATGGTTTTTTCTCGCCTTTTTTTTTTAAAACCTTCGGTTACTTATTTAAATTGTTCCTTTTGATAGGGTCTCCTCTTATCAGTCCTTCAGCAGGATTCAGAAATTCGTAAGGCGGTGAGATATATCTCTGCAACTCACGACTAATATCATCTCACAGAGAAGCAGTCCGATAAAAATTACCTCGTTTGTGTATCTTTTCAAAATTTACTATGTGAAGTAGCTATTCCTTCTTATTTAGCTGTCTCTGCGGAAAGTTTTGATTATTTTAGCTGGCATTGATTATTTTAGCTGGCAGTGAGATGTCTGATGCATGTGAATAGTATCAATTTAAATTTGAAATTAATAAGTGTGTAGAGGAATAATGGCTATAAAAAGGTACTCTCTTCATTCATGTATTTTCCGTATAGAGTTCAAGGTAAAGCAAACCAATTCATGATGCTGGACATCTTGATGTTCCACTTAGAAACAAATTATGAAGCAGATAATATCTACGATTTTTCTTTTAATAAAAATGTATAGGAGAATGAATCTATAGAACAACTATCTTGAAATAGATTGCCAACTTTGAAAAAGTCAATTCATTGCATAACCCATTTGAATCTACTTTTACATTGTTAAAGCACAAACAACTTGCCTCTGTGGTTTTCAATCTTTCCCTTTATCAATATTATTGTAGTACCTTTGTTCTGATTCCCTTACTATTGTTAGTCGTTTCTTGTTTCGGTTAAATTATGCTGTCTTGTGGTTCTTCAGTTGGTATTTCAGTATTGTCTTGTGGTACTTCACTTATTATTTGTTGAAGCTTTCACATCTTTAATGATCAGGACATCTTCCTTTAGATCTCTTGCTCAATTTTGTATCTATTTTTCTTCTTTTTGATGTTTAACATATGTTCATCACTAGGAGAACTATTCATAAAAAGGAAGGTAGACAGATATTGGCAAATTCTTGATCCCCCCCCCCCCC